GGGGTCGGGTGGGGCGGGACGGGCGGTTTATAGGTGGCCGGCCGCTGGGTATGATGTGTGTTGACGCGGGTGGGTCGCGCCTTCTTTTTCCTCCTCGCTTTCCTTTTCCTTGGTTGCGGGTGACTTGACCTTGTCGATCACGGTCGAAAAATCTTCATGCATGTGCTCATACGGAGCAACCCCATAGTGCCACAGTCATCACAACTGAACCTTTAATCGATCTAAAGCGTCTGACACAAAATCTCACTGGCCCGCACGCAGGAGGAGAAATCCTAACCTCACCGCCCCAAGGAGACGACGGGAATCTACGTTGGAGCTCCGTCGTCTCCATCGCGATGGACGAACTCGAGGAGGGTTGGAACCCGAAAGACCACCTCGATCCGCCCGAACGTTGTGTAAGAAAAAAATCCAACCTAAAATACTAACCTGAGTCGAGGCGTCGGGACCCCCTCGCCGTCACCGGTCGTCTGGACAACAAGCAGAGGGGTGGTGGATCGCTAGCAGTTGAAGTCGCGAGAGGAAATGAGAAACCCTATGAAATACTCGTGTTCTATTCTACATTAGTATCTTTTGATGTGTAGGTCTCTAGAAAATACTACTCCCTCCGTCCCAAAATAAGTGACTCAAAAGTGACTCAACTTTACACTACTCAAAAGTGACTCAACTTTACACTAAAGTTAGTGTAAAGTTGAGTCACTTTTGAGTCACTTATTTTGGGACGGAGGGAGTAATAGTTAAAATATGAGACTACAATGTTATGGCCATATGAGTCCCACATTTTTTTTGTTTGGTTGCTTCTCGAAAAGAAAAACTTTTTTGGTTTGAGTTGACGTTGAAGTTCCTATGGAGGACTCTTTTGGTTCAAAGGAAAAGTGGGAGAAAATATATAAGAATATGAAAAAATATGATGGTACTAAAAATGCAAATATATAATTATATAGTTTCTAGAATTCTTGAGCTTGTTTTTGACTTTGTTTTACCATGTTTATTAGAAATCTTGCGTTTTTCAAATTCTTGTAAACCAAACAACAAGGTGGACATAATTTCTATGTTTAGCAATCATCTGTTTTGCGCATGCATCTCTATCTTATTCATGTGTTTTTTCTATTCGTGTATTTGTAGTACCCCCCGCACCAAAGGAGATCATAGTACAAAAAGTCATGCTTTATTTGTTTATCTGGATTCTTTAGGCATCAGACTAGTGATAAATCTCTTAATAATATTTCTAGTTGTGATTTTGCTCTTTATTTCTTACCTTGCTTATCATTGAAGAAAATCCTATATCATTCAATTATATAAATCAAACGACCGACATAGGATTTTTTTTCTAAGGATTCCATTTCTTAAAAAATAATAGGAAAATGTTTTAAATAAAATAGTCCCTTAGGGATTATTTGGTTTGATTTGTGGGATTTTAAAAATGCAGGAACTAGGAAAACATAGGGCCACAATGTCATGCCCACTTAAATCCTATAGGATTTTTGTTTGTTTTATTGCATCACGGAAAAAACAAAGGTTTTTTTCTCGAGGTTTGAGTTGATCTTTATGGAATGTAGTACAAAGGATCCCATAAGAAAAAAAATATTATGGAACAATCTTACGAATCAAACGACCAACGTAGATAAAATTAGTTAGGTCTCATTTGGTTCATAGGATAGGGACATCATAGAAATTGAGATGACATGTATCACAATTTCTATATAAAAAGAGAAGTCATTTGATGCGGAGAATAAGGATTTTTTCATTGAGTCTAGGCTAATTTTTTTCCTTTAAAATGTGAATGGGTGGTTCCTATACTACACAGGAATAAGAATTCATTCCTACAAACCGAAATGCTCCAAAGGAACTTTTCCTTTGAAAACCTCATCCTGTAGAATTCCTACACGCCAAAGGAGGCCTAAGAATTTCAATTCTTCAAAACTCCTACAGAAATCCTTTGAATCAAATCCTACGATCCAAATGGCTTTCGTAGGAAAAAAATATCCTTAGTATTCAAATCCTACAATCCAAATAGGCCCTTAGTGAGGAGTGCGAAGCTGTAATAAAAAAACATATCTAAACGTTTCAAAAAACTCAAAAACAATTCTGTAGAAACTTGTATGTATCCACTATGAATCCATTTTTTTTTGACAAATTGTAATTTGTAAGCTGTACAAAAATAACAAAATTCCGGCCCAATAACAAAAAAAAAGAAGCTCATTCGAAAATACATACTCCATCCGTCTCAAAATTCTTGTCTTAGATTTGTCTAAATACGGATGTATCTAGTTACGTTTTAGTGTTAGATACAACCGTGTCTAGACAAATCTAAGACAAGAAATTTGGGACGGAGGGAGTACGTGTCATTTATTTTTGTATGTCACGTGTGAAAGTAGAATGATATGAAATTTTGCAGATACATAATATACATGTCTGTGTGTTTACAAAAAAATCAACTTTTTTGTGTTGTAGAAAAATGTTTTTTTGCTAATTTTAAGTGAGGCCCGGCCCAAGTAGAATCCCGGCCTATAACTCCAACCGAACCCTAATCCTACCCCCCTGCTAGGTTTTCAGTCTCTCGCCTCCACCAGCGCCTCCACGCCGCCGAGGAACGGAGCAGGAAGTGACGCCGGAGGAGGACGCTCTGCTCGTCGTCCGCCGCATCTCGCGCCCGCCCAACCCGAACGCCCCGAAAGGCCACCAAAGCCGTAGCCTTCTTCTTCCTAGAGCTCCCGCAGCATGTCGGCATCCACCAGCGGCGGCGGGGGGCTCTCGCCGCAGGCGGCCGCGGCGCTCCAGGAGGGCGTCGGGCTGGTGTTCATGCGGTGGACGGCGCTGCAGATGGCGGTGGAGAACGGGTGGGGCGGCCGCGACTCCCGCGCCAAGGCCGACCGGCTCGCCGCCGACGTCCTCGCCTTCTTCACCACCTCCAAAGGTGCCCACTCATCCGTCCCCTTCAGCACCCCCCTTTGATTGCGTCTTATAGGTCCTCAAATTGCTCCAATCTCCCAGAGAGGATTTGCGTTCCTTGGCCCCGTGACAGCTTCGATTCATCAGAGTTTTCATGGGCTTTCACAATCTGACATGTCCATAGTATGATCGGTGAAACAATTTGGTTTGGGGTTGATGTACCGGAGCTTGATTTAACCAACAGGGGAATTGTCCAAAGCGTGGCCTTATGTAACAGGGGAATTGTCCAAAGCAGAGCATTATATTTATTCACAAGCTTATGTTTAGTTAAGATTGACAGTGGATTCCAGTTACTACTGAAAATCCCAACATCTCTTGCACTCTCTGTTTATTTTAGGACGTTACGGCTTACTCTTTTTTTTCATCTACTAGTATAATTGGTCCAAAATGTGATTTTGGCATGGCTGACTTATTTCTACTACGTTTGATTTTATCCGCTCCACTCATTCTACACGTCTGGGTTGGCATGTAATATTCTTTAGGTTTATTTTCCAGGTCCATATTATTATGATGACTTGGAGGAGATGATGTTTGACAGCATATCCGAATCCTTCAATGCTGACTTTGAGGATGGAAGTGTTGGGGAGGTAATTATTTGTTGTTTCCTTCATGTTTAGTGCCAGCAATAGGTATCTTACAATTTCTTATTGCAAAAGTAGGCTGGGACTTGATTTAGTATTAATGTCCGTAGTAAATATGGACTGACAGCACCTGTCCCTTGGTAACCATGGGGCAAGTTTAGGACAATGGGTTGGCCTATGTGGCGTCCCTCTTGTGGTACCAGTGAGCCATTGGGTCATATGGCCCATACTGCTGTTAGCTTGAAACAGAAGAGAGGCCATTTGAAATGAATCAAGATGGTAAGACCTTCCAATTCACACTACAAGTGCAGGAAAATAAAAAACGTAAACAAAATTTAAAAGGCATGGCTGCT